GCGCTGGCCGGCGAGGACTGCCTGTGGTACCTGGACCGGAATGGCTCCTGGCATCCGGGCTTCGACTGCGAATTCTTCACCTTCTGCTGCGGGACCTGCTACCAGCGGTACTGCTGCCGGGACCTGACCTTGCTCATCACCGAGAGGCAGCAGAAGCACTGCCTGGCCTTCAGGTGGGCGCCGCCTCCCCCTCCTCCGCCCCTCTCCGTGGTCCATCTGCGCCTGCGTGGCCGAGGGGGGTCGCCAGACCCTAGCCCGGGGGCGGAATGGGGAGGCCCGGGCGCCGGCCTGGGAGCTCCCCTAAAGGATAGGCTCGGGCCAGCTGGGCTGAGCCCGTCTCCTTGGTCCGCTGTGGGCTGGGGTGTTAACCCCGTTCGCCCTCTCACGTGGAAAGAAACACGGGGAAGAAGGGAGGAGATGTACGGGGTTGACTCCTAGGTCTGGAAGCGTGATCTGGGGAAGACAGAACCATTGCTTCCTCTTCCCCAAATAAGGGGGTTGTCAAAAGGACTGGATTATCATCATCATCATCATCATCATCCCACAATCATCATCTTCATCCAGAGCCTCACCCATGCTAGATAAATAAATGCTCTACCACTGAACCCCATCCCTAAATTAGTGGGTTTCAGACTTCTTTTCGAAGTCTGAACATATAAAAGAATTAAGAGGTTAGTGTCTGGAGTTACGTTCGCTTGTTTCTAAGCCCTTTAGGGCTAACAGGTTAACCTAATTAATCAAGTTGTAAGTATGAAAACAATAGTAGAAGAACACACTACTACAAATCCCAGCATGCCCCACGCTAGCTAGCGGGGCAGTATAGCCTTCTGGGAAGTGGAGGTCCCAACTCCTCTCCCGGGACTGGGTTGAATCCCACAAGGAATCCCGAATCTTAGCGTTCGGTGGCCCCCTGCTGGCCCAAGTGGATGCCACCACAATGAGTGCGGGAAAGTGACAGGACCTGTTCTTTATCCAAAGTCCCAAGACCATAGCCGGCATCGCCTCGGCCGTGATCCTCTTTGTGGCCGTGGTTGCCACCACCATCTGCTGCTTCCTCTGCTCCTGTTGCTACCTGTACCGACGCCGCCAACAGCTCCAGAGCCCATTTGAAGGTGAGCACGCACTGAACAAGATGAGCCTGAGCCGGGCAGAGCCCTAGGGTGGGCACTCGAGAAGTCAAGTATAGTAGTGTGCGACTATGCATGCGTGTAAACCCAGAGATATTCTTGTATGCTCATAAATATTGGGCCCTGTGTGTGCAAGTGTGTACACACACGGGAATATTCAGTGCTACACGGAGGCGGGCTCAGTCTGTCAATGGTGCTATCGTGCGGGAGGCGTACACACATGCAGGCGTGGTCTATAGTAGTGAACATAAGGTGTGCACCTGTGTGTACTGAGGATTGTGTATCTGCACATTGCATGTGATTTGTACAGGTGTAAGAAACACATGAGCTTGGGGTCATCAGCACCCTACAGGAAAGTGAGCAGCGTGGAACAGAGGGGCTGGAGGAGGGCTTCGTTGGTGGCAGCTGGGCTGGGTGACCAGATCCTAGCCTCTCAAGTAGGGCAACCCCCAGGCTACACGGTTTGCTTCCTGAGTCCTGAGGGAGGCAAACTTACTAGGCACAGATGGACCAGCCACCCAACTCTAACAACTCTGCCAAATAGCGTTTGGGAGGCAAAGGCCGCAGGTGGCCAGCAAGGAGCCTGCCTGAGGGCTGCCAGGGTGCCTACCTTGGTTTCCGGGACAGGCGGTGTTTCCCGTGGCAAGTCTGGCTCTGAATGTTGATCTTTGTCCCTCACCTAGGCCAGGAGATTCCAATGACGGGTATCCCTATGCAGCCAGTATACCCATACCCCCCGGACCCCAAAGCTGGCCCTGCCCCACCGCAGCCTGGCTTCATGTACCCACCTAGTGGTCCTGCGCCCCAGTACCCACTCTACCCCACTGGCCCCCCGATCTACAATCCTGCAGGTAAGTGAGCAATCGGCACCCCTCACTCCAGCTTGGCCTCCACTCTCACCACAGGATCTTGATCTCTGTCTTCTACCCTCCTGCGGGAAGCCCTCGGGCCAGCTCTTCCTGTGATCCAATACACTCTGGGGCTGGGGGGGGAGGGGGGAATGGGCGGGGCTTGCCTCTTGTCCTCCTGGGTCCACTGACCCTGTCTCTTTGGCTTTCAGCTCCTCCCCCCTACATGCCACCACAGCCCTCCTATCCAGGACCCTGAAGAATCGCCTGTGGCTCTACTGTTCCTTCAGTGATGGCAGCTTTGGGGATGCCGGTCTTGTTCCTGCATCCAGCCTTGGGGATGGGCAGGGGTGTTTTAGTCACTGGGCCCCCCCGATCAAGGCTGAGGGTAGAGCCCCTGAGAAGAGGAATGGGAGCTGAGCTGGAGCTACATTATTTACATCAGGCGTGTGGGGAGGGGCTTGGGGTCACTGGGCTATTTTTATTGGGGAGCTAGGGAGATGGATGACAGCCCTGGCTTTAAAAAACAAAAACAAAAAGTCCCTTTGCTCCCAAGGATTTCAATCAGAAAGTCAGGGCCCCTCCCGTTTGCCTGCTTCAGGCTGGGGTGGGGGAGGGGGAGGCTCCATCAACAGCTGGTGGTGACTCTCCCCTCTGGCTGCCCCACTGGCCAGCGCTCCGGCCTGCTGGATTAAAGCTGTAAAGATGTAAAGTGTTGGTGATGTCACTGAGCCCATCCATGCCTTCCAGTAGCACCACCCAGCCTTGTGCCCACCCTGCATCCCAGAGTAGGGAAGGGTGACACCCGCATGCGAGTTCAGCTCCACCTCCAGCCCTACGCCTGGCTTAGGGGTCTTGGCTGGTTCCCAAAAGCTTGCAAGGTGGAGTGTCAGCAGCTGCCAAGAGGGTACTTATTACAGATTCCATCCTAGGGTCACACCCCTGAGCCATGTAAGACCCCACAACTGTCCAAGGGCACCTCCCTAACCTAGTACACTTCTGTCCAAATCCCTCTGACCTTGAGCATGTCTCTGAAGACCTTCAAGCTTGTGTCCTCATGGTTAGAACATGGATGTACCTCGAGGCAGTCAAGAGTGTGAACTCTGATGTCAAGGAACTATGAGTCCTGTCTTTCCTTCCTCAGCAGAGGTCCTGGGACTAGGGGCTGAATGGAGGGACACAGCTATCCAAGGGACAGGAGCCAACGTGCTTCTGTCAGTTGTTTGGTCATCGGGGGATCTAAAGACATCATTGCCAAAGCCTCCCACCGAGCTAGGCTGCTTAGAGAGACAATCTGGTGGCTCATGCCTGTCATTCCCATACTCAGGAGGCCGAGATCTGAGAATCATGGTTTGAAGCCAGCTCCAGCAGACAAAACTCAAAAGATTCTTGTCTCCAGTTAACCAGCAGAAAGTTGGAAATGGAGGTGCGGCTCAGCCTTGAGTTCAGGCCCCAGAACCATCACATTAAAAAAAAAAAAAAACAAGGTCTGGGAACAGCCACAGGTGCCCGAAGCTGTATGGTCACTGTGCCTTGCTGTGCTTGTTGGGGACCCGGTCCTCAGTGACAGATCCAGGGAAGGGAATTTGATAGGTTTTGCTTTTTGTCATTCTGAGGATCAGACCCAGGGCCTTGTGCATGCTGAGCAAGCACTGAGCTCAACATCCCCCCAGCCCAGTTGATGGCTGTTTAGGTTAAATGGGCAGACCCAAGACCCTCCTCCTAGTTCCCAGAGCTGGGCCCTCCTTTTACACGCACGCACGCACGCACGCACGCGCGCGCGCGCACACACACACACACACACACACACACACGATGCCACTCCAGTGCAGCCTTGGGCTCTGCTCTCCCTCCCTGTGCTTGCTCTGGGTTCTTGCAAACAGCTGGGTTCTGGATAGGGCCAATGTGCTAACCATCCCCCCCCCCGACTCTCTATCACCCACTACACCCTCTGGAGGGTCACCTCTTGTCACACAACCTGGAAGGCAGGAGCTCCAGGCCAGCACTTTGGAGCCAGGGCCACAGGTTTCCTTGGGCAGAGGTTTGTCCAGCTTCCCCCTTCCTGTGGACTGTTCAAGGGGCCTGGGAGTTTGCCCCAGGATCTGACCCAGATAGGGAAGGACAGCTGGACAGCTGATGGGGCCATACCTGGGGCTGCAGCTCCAAATCGGGACAGGGGCTAAGAGCTGGTGCCCTGCTTCTGGAGGGGCTACCAGGTCTCTAGAGGCCTGGAGCTCAGCCTCATCTGTCTTGAAGCTGGGAAACAGAAATGTACAGGATGAAGTCTCTGAACTTCCCTAAGAAATGACAGGAATGTGTGCAAGGCCCTGGCCATCAGAACTATTTCCAAGTCAACAACTTGGGCCAAAGACAAGCAGCTTGGTAGTCTAGGGTAAGGAGGTAAGTTTCCTGGCCAGAGCTGGAGGTGGAAGGGCACAGAGTGGTTCCTGTTTCTCCTCCACGCTGCAAAGCACTGAAAATAAAAATACAAGAAAAAAAGGGAAGCCTCAACAGTGGGGCTTCCACATACTTGCGATCCTGTCCCACACTGAGGTCCCTTAAATCAGAGCAACTCTTCTTCCTCTCCCCAGTGCAGCAATTTCCTCCTGGCTCATCACATGTGCCAAATCATGGGGTGAAGGAGAGATCAGCAAGACCTAGGGGTCCCCTGAGCTATCTCTGCTCCTTCCTCTTGACTAGTACCCTGATAACCATTCCAGAGTCCCAGAATGAGAAAGGGACTTGTATAGAGACAGCAGCCCCCAAGATCTAGGGTAACTCAATGGTGTTAATAGGTTCTTGCTAGAGTGAAGGGGTCACTAAGCAGCCTCAAGGGTTGGTCTAAGTGGCCTAGGTGGAGAAGAGGGGCTTTTTTTTTTTTTTGGTCCTGGGTTTGAACTCAGGGTCTGGGTGCTGCCTCTGAGCTTTTTGGCTCAAGGCTAACACTCTACCACTTTCAGCCATAGTGCCACTTCAAGTTTTTACATGATTAATTGGAGATAAGAGTCTCACAGACTTTCTTGCCTGGGCTGACTTCAAACCATGATCCTCAGATCTCAACCTCCTGAGTTGCTAGGATTACAGGTGTGACCCATCAGTGCCCGGCTTAGGAGCATTTTTACACAAAGAGATGACCCTACAGAGCTCTTGTCTAGTGAGAGGCTAAGGGCTTGGGTCTGATCCCCAGCATCGCCAGCACACACACACACAGGTTTGGGCACAAGGGGCATGGTAGAGTGCCTGTCTAGCAAGCATGAGACCCTGAGTTCAAACTCCAGTACCATGGGGACCAGAGGAAAAAAACACTGAGGCTGCTGGCAAGGGTTAGCAAAAAATAAAAGGTGGGGGGATTCACTGGGAGGTGGGAAGGGAGTCAGGAGGGGAATAAAAGAAAAATACCTGGGAAAGGAAAAGAAGACACAGCAGGGCAAGGAGGGAAGGTGGGATGAAGGCAGAGGCTCGAGGAGGAAGTTCACTGTTAGGAGAAGGTGCTCAGGAAAATGGGCAGATGGACAGGGTACCCAGCAGCCTGGCTTCCGGACTCACCTTAGATGGAGGACCTCCCACACCAGGAGCAGAGTGGGGCTCTCCAGGTGGTTCTATTTTTCCTGGAGCTCTCCAGGTGGTTCTATTTTTCCTGAAGCATTTCGGTGAGTGATCCTTATCTAGATTTTGCTTGCTTGCTGCAAGTTCCAGGGCTTGAACTCAGGGCCTCTTGCTCTACTTGGTTTTTTCATTTAAGGCTGGTGCTCTACCATGTGAGTCACACCTCTATGTCCAGCTTTTTGCTGGTTAATTAGATGTATGGCTGGCTTTGAACCCTTTGAATCCTCAGCTCTCAGCCTCCTGAGTAGCTAGGATTATAGGCACAAGTCACCCAAGTCCAGCCAGATCTTTTTATTTTTTTGTCTGTCATGGGGCCCGAACTCTGGGCCTGGGCACTGTCCCTCAGCTCTTCAGCTCAAGGCTAGTGCTCTACCACTTGAGCCACTGCACCACTTCTGGCTTTTTTCTGCTTATGTGGTGCTGAGGAATCGAACCCAGGGCCTCATGCATGCAAGGCAAGTACTCTACCACTGAGCCACCTTCCCAGCCCCCAGATTTTTTAAAAAGAGGGCTTGGAGCCTGGAGCCTCTCAGATCACTCACCTGCGTGTCAGATGCCTGTGACAGCGAACGCGGGACCAGCGTCTCAGCAGCCCCCAGGGCCTGCCCATAGCTGGTGCCCACAGGCCGCAGCCAGTGCACATAGCAAAGGCAGTGCCCATAAGCCCCTAGCCAGTGCCTGTAGCCCAGGCATCTCCTGCGGGGTTGGGGTCGGGAGGAGGGGAGCTCGGCCTCTCTGTGACCCAGCGGGGCCCGCGGGTAGAGGCCGTGGGGTCAGAAGTCTTTTCTCCCTCCATCAGTGGGATGCACCTGTCGTCAGAGCTGGATTTCAATCCAGATTCATCAACCTGGACACGTCAGTGGCTTTCTTTGGACTTTGTATCCCGCACCCTCCCTAAAACACGGGGCGCTGGATCAAGTAGATCCCTCCTAGCTCTTTCTCTCAAGGTTTCAGAAAGAGAAAGCTGGACAGACAGGACCCTGTCGGTGCAGGGGGCGGAGGTGCGGGTTCCTGCAGCTCCGTGCTGACCGCACGCGTCCGCTGCGCGCGGGGAGTCGGGGGCTCCACCGCGTCTGCCCCTCGTTGCCTCCCCTTCGCCCGCTTCACCCCTGGCTTGCTTGGGGTCCGCGGGCGCAGCTCCTGGAGCCGCGGGAGAGCGTGGGGCGATCGGCCTCCAGGTGGCGCTGTGCTCCCGCCCCAGAGAGACGATTACGTCATCGCAGGCCGGCCGCGGGGAGTGGCTATTCGAAGGGTGTGTGTGTGTGTGTGTGTGTGTGTGTGTGTGTGTGTGTGTGTGTG